TGACACCAACTTTAATGTGCTACAGAGTTTGAGAAAAGCTGAACTTCCAGGCTACACGACCACCGTTACCTACCTCTGAAGATGGCCCAGGTGCTCGCGACTTATTTTGAGCCTCCATTTCGATTGCGTTGTCAGAGAGAAGGATCAGGAGCTCGGGACCATCTAGACGAGCATCCTCACTACCAACAAACACCTGATTACTGCAGGCTGCAGCAGTGCAGATATCCAGAGTCATCCTCATTGACGAGTTACCATCAAGGCATACATCCGAATCCTCGTTGGAACCATCACCTGCTTCACTCTCATTTCCGTCAATTTCCTCACCTATCATAATTACTCCCACACTTCAATCAGCTAAGTTAGACTCACGTCCTATCATCTCGACTCCTTGAATCAAGAAGTGCTTCGTGTCTCGTTTACAATACTCAATACTCATAATTACAGCAAGTTCATGGCAAGTTGGGGTCACCGTGCTTGTGAGTGGCTTTTCCGTCTTTTCGAGAATTACCCGGTGGCAAGTTGCAAAAAGGAAGATCAAGAGATGTGAATTTACTGATGGGCCTTTTACCTGGCAACTGCATTGTGAAAAGTTCTTCTCTCTTGTGCCGCGATCTGAAGGTAACACCTCCGAGTTTTCGTCACAACAGTAATCAATAATTTTCATCAAATTCACGTTTACCCGGACCTACTTGAGTGGAGACCCCCAACCTGCGTATTTATGTAATGTGACTTGACAGATCATCACACTGAAATACGAGGTATAAGTGTTTGCAAACTTTGAACATTTATGTACCGATTCATAAGGTTTACCGACAACGACAGTCTATACTTATAAGTGTTTGCAAATATGTGGTATGTAAGGGGTAAGGCCGTATTAACGACAACGACAGTCTACAATCGGATGAGGCATAAGTTCAACGGGAGGTCGGAGCTACGTCTTGCTTGATCATATGAGCCAACTCTTTTGCGACGTCTGGAGATATGCCACAACGCTTCGTGAGATGAGGGACAAGATCCTTCCTTGTCACATGCGAACCCCCTGTAAGTAACTCCTTCAGCCTGCGCATCAACGACACGAACTGGTTGTTCCCTCCTATCCATGCCTGCTTCTGCTGGTCGGTAGTAAATTTTTGAACAAGCTTGCGGATCGTGACGCGCGATTCTTCATAAAGGAGTTGGTGTCTGCCGTCCAATCTATTGGCGGCAGTGATGCACGCATGACCGGCGACCTCGATCTGATACTTCTTGAAGGTATCCTTGTTTCTGTCCCACCAATTCTCCATCCTCTCCTCTCTCTCGAGGTTCGTGATCGCAATAACAATTGGAACCTTCTTCTCGCAGAGAAATTCGTGAAAGAGTCGATAATTGCTTTGAAGCGTAGTAGTGACTCTGCCGGCGCGAACGCAGAATAGAAGCAGATCAATGCCGCCTTGTTTATCCAATTCCTTGACGAGTTTATAGGCGTTTTCGACCGACTCGAGGTATTCTTTGATCCCCAGCTGCGGTTCCTCGAGCCCGATGGTATCGAAAATCGTATACCAGTCACCGTCGAAGTCAATAGAATACTCATTCCACTGCATTGTACAGCGTTGCATGTCAGGAGATGTGCCCGCTACCTCCTTTCCCGCCATGAGGTTGACGAGCGAGCTTTTGCCTGCTCCCGTCTCCCCAAAGAGTACGATAGTTTTGCGCCTGTCCTTGCTCGTTAACATTGAGAAAAATACAAAACTTCATCTGGAGACTACATGCCTGTCAGGAGCTGGTTGTTTAACAGTATCGGAATTCCGAGTCGAAGCTCTGCTTTGCAGGTTAGTCCTATATATCAATATAAGACAACTTGTACAGTACGAAGGGCGTCTGGAGACTACGTACTTTGTTGCCATTTATGTAAGAGGGATGCTCCTGATAGTCTTCAGTTAAAGCGTTTGGCCGACGCTCGATGATGCGGCAGTTCTTATAAAGACAGAGGCAGACTTGCAGGAGATCACGTTTCTTGCGCCCGTCCTTCAGACGCCTTGAACCCGTGGGGTTGAAAACGGCACCCGCCAGATTCTCGAACAACTTGAGGCAAACTCGTGTTGGACTCGAGGATTTGATTAGTAACCACCTGTTGAAAGAGATGATAAGTTATACTAATAGTTCTTGAAAACCGAATCTCACGTTCATATACATAGTGCGCGTTGATATCAAACAACACAGGAGCTGCATCAAAGGGCCAAGGTAGGCCGCCCTTGTCTGACTCGTCTACATCCCAGCGTCAACCAGAAGGTGGGTAGAGGTACACTTCGGGTCAGTGCCACGTCATTACTAAACCGAGTAAAAACTAAATCATTGGGTCAGTTTGTCCTGCCTCGAATTAATTGCAAAATAATTAGGGTTAGCGAGGTTAAATAACAGTTAACTACGTCAAGTCTCATCAACGATCGAGCATTGCCGAGTCCCGGATCCTTGATAGGCTGATTCCCCGGGGCAAATATTCCCGCTAGTACTCCCTGTCCTTGGGCGGGCAGACGTGACATTCGCTCGTAGAATAAAGCATCTCCATGTTTTTCATGCCTTGGAACCAAAACTCGTCCCATACAACCTCAAGATCAACGGAACATGTCGCGGACTCGGCGAAAGTTTCGTCCTCTTCTGACTGCGAATTTACCGTCGTCCTCGGGTCTCATCAACCTGCCGCAACTAGGCCATTATGCCTACATGAAATCCTGGCTGGGATGTGAGCTGAAGGCCTCAGGGATTGCAAGCACATTAAATCACGCATGCTGCTACTATCACGTCTCACCGCTTTTTCAAAGAGAAAGTTGGCGCTTCGCGTTCATTGGAATGCTTCTTGCGCGATCTTTATCAATTACCTCATGATACATTGCATGACCGCTGCCGCATTGCTAATTATATAAGTCATATCCAGGACTACACAGCCACTGCACCTGCGCTTTAGCTCCAACTACTTAGAGCATGTACAACTAGCCCATATTGATACATAGACAGCATGGCTCTTACGCCATCCACCGTCATTCCAACAGCGTATGGAACATGCGGTATCCTTGCGTTGTAGTTAATTTTCCCTGATCTAGCAGCTGGACGTCCGAGTCCGACGTACTGACAGATATATTCAACTAATCGGGAGATACCACCTCAAAAACACCAAACGCACAGGGCAAGGCCTGCCCTTCACTGTTGTCTGGAGTTGAGCCATCTTTGCAATGGCGTCTGTTGGTGGAGAACAATGTACTGTAAGTGATGGCTCTGGGTGTTCCTCAGCATAAATTTGACGTGAACTATTTTCACATTCCAAATCAGATCAATGAGACTTCGCATCACACGAAAGAAACCTGCAACGTTGTCATTTTCGGACAAACGGGCTCTGGTAAAAGTTCCTTGATCAATTTGGTCGCCGGGACGCAAACGGCGCTGACATCCCGCGATGCTATGGGATGTACGACTGAAACCAACGGGTACGACGTCTCAATGCAGAGCAACCTTTTGAAAGTGAGGCTGTTTGATACCCCCGGTCAGTGCAAGTTTGCTGCTCTCAATCACTGTTGCTGAACTGGAATACAGGTTTCGGTGAGGGCTCTAAAGGAACAGTTCCTGATGAGGAGGCTCGAAAAGTTGTGAAGACACTCCTTCAAGATCTTATGGAGCAAAATAATATTCATCTCCTCATCTACTGCGTGCGGGGTGTGAGAGCGACAAAGGCGCTCTGCTGCAACTACAAGTTAATCCGCTCCGTAGTGAAGGAGAGAGTTCCAATCGTTCTTGTTGCTACAAGTTTAGAACACAAAGAACCAGGAATGGAAGAATGGTGGAGGGATAACGAGCGATCTATCTCAAACTTGGGCATGACCTTTGCTGGTCACGCATGTGTCACCACTATCGATGAAATTGCAGGGGATAAGCTCAAGCAGCGCCACAAAGAGTCACACGACGCCATCTGTCAACTTATCGAGCGGTACCGCCTGAAAGGGGCTACAAGGTACTCAGTTTTCAGTCGCTCTTTCGTGTCACATTTTGCCAACTTTGATTAGTAAGAACAGGCGTAAAACTATCTTACTCTTTGGGGCGACGGGAGCAGGCAAAAGCTCGCTCGTCAACCTCATGGCGGGAAAGGAGGTAGCGCGCACATCTTCTGACATGCAACGCTGTACAATGCAGTGGAATGAGTATGCTATTGACTTCGACGGTGACCGGTATACGATTTTCGATACCATCGGACTCGACGAACCGCAGCTGGGAATCAAAGAGTACCTCGAGTCTATCGAAAATACCTATCGGCTCGTCGAGGAATTGGATAGACGAGGCGGCATTGATCTGCTTCTATTCTGCGTTCGCGCCGGCAGGGTCACTCCTACACTTCAAAGCAATTATCGACTCTTTCACGAATTTCTCTGCGAGAAGAAGGTTCCAATTGTCATTGCGATCACGAACCTCGAAAGAGAGGAGAGGATGGAGAATTGGTGGGACAGAAACAAGGATACCCTCAGAAAGTATCAGATCCAGGTCGCCGGTCATGCGTGCATCGCCGCAGCCAATAGATTGGACGGCAGACACAAAATCCATTATGAAGAATCGCGCATCACGATCCGCAAACTTGTTAAGGAATTTACTGCTGACGGGCAGAAGCAGGCATGGACAGGAGGGCACAACTTGTTCGTGTCGTCGATGCGCAAGCAGAAGGCGCTACTCACAGGGGGTTCGCAGGTTAAAAAGAAAGATCTTGTCCCTCATCTCACGAAGCGTTGTGGCGTATCTCCAGACGTCGCAAAAGAGTTGGCTAATATGATCAAGCAAGACGTAGCTCCGACCTCCCGTTGAACTTATGCCTCATCCGATTATAGACTGTCGTTGTCGTTAATACGGCCTTACCCCTTACATACCACATATTTGCAAACAGTTATATCTCGTATGTCGGTACGATGGTTAAGCCACGCATTATAATTATATATATTACTACCTTCACTCGTCTGATTTCGCCATCGCTTACGTTGTTTCACCTTAATCCTTTTCACTCAGACTGAAGTGAGAATATCACTCGATCATTAACTAACGTAGTATCTCATTGTCTCTCGCAGCTTCCGAAGTTCGCTGCTCGCATCAAGTAGATCCAATAAAAAATCGTGCGAGAACCTTCAAGTTAGCTTGCGTACTAACCTTCCCTTGATCAAGTCTACTAAGACGAAAATCAATGTTGACCACATGTTTGGAATCATAATCATTTTATGTACCACAAGCACTCTGTTCACCTTCGGATGTTACGTCTGCTGTTGTCTTTACCTCTTCTCTTGGAAGTAGCCTTCGAAGATTTCAGCGACGTCATACTCCTGAAAGTGTGTAGCTCTCCGTGTGCAAACGAATCTGTGCGTAAGTCAAACACGTTTCAGCTCTTCGCACAGCTTTGGAGCCGCCGGTGCTTTCGTTCGCTCACAAAGGTCATATTTCCACCAGTTGGAGGTCTTCATGATATTGATATCTTTTCAGAGTCATATGTCAAAGAACGTGGTCATCATTGGTCAAACTGGGGCGGGGAAAAGCTCCCTCATCAACATGCTTTGTCCCGGGGCCAATGCTCCTACCTCGAACGACACAACCGGTTGCACACATGTAGAAAGGGAGTATCGATGTGATCTCGGGGACAGATTTTCTTGTCAAGTACACGATACAATTGGTCTTGAAGAAGGGCGTTGGGGCTTCCTTTGGGCCCCGAAAGCGGAAAGGCGGCTCATAACGTACTTGAAGAAGATGAAGAGCCCGCACCTTCTGGTATACTGTATTCCGGCAGGGCGAGGCCTCCTGAAGAAATCGGATGGGCGCAACTACCAGAAGTTCAAATCGGCGGTGGGCAAAAATGTGCCGGTCGTAGTGGTTGTCACCCATTTGGAGAATTTTAGAGGTCCCTTCAGTAGTTGGTGGTCGAACAATGTGGACAAACTCAAAGCGGTCGGTATTCCTGTGGATACTAGGCATGCATGCATCACTACGCTACCCAAGGCTGACCTTCATATCCTTTGCATGGAAGAAACACTCTACGATAATTCATGCGCGGATGTCAAATCTCTCATCAGACATATTCTTTCCAAAATGTAACGGTAGATCCATATATCACGGTGCAGTCTACGAGTCCACTTCATCTTCATGTTATGATAGACATCTCACTTACCAATCACTCACTATATAGCTACGTCATGATGCATGAGTGCTAGAGCATCGATACACTACTGTGAAGTCATAAATATTTGTATGTGTTCACTGTTAATCGAATCCTCAAGGCCTCACAAGTCGAAGCTCCTCGGAGTTGCTCGTCGACCTCGTATGCTGTTCTTTACTGGTACGTATCACCCATTGTAGATCTATTGAACGAAGAACCGACGTTTACTCGCGAAACAACACGACACAACCTATACCTCCGTCGAAGTTCTGGGTTGTATTAAGCCATTGTCAACTCTGGGACTCGATTGCATGCCACCGCGGCCCACTCGTCCAAGTCTCACCACGTCGGAAACATTTTGTTATCAGGTTTGATATTCGCTATATACACGCTAACAAGCGCTCCGTTCAACCTTCGGATGTCACGTTTGCTGTTGTCCTTTCCTCTTCTCTTGAAAATAACGTTCGAATGTCTCGGCGACATCGTGATGTATAGCGTGTGCGAACGAATCCGTGCACAGGTCAAGCATGGCTTTCTCCAGCGTCCGCTCTTAACATCCGTTGGATATCGTCGCATCAGCAGGTCGCAGGTTGCAGGAGGAACTGTTTGCGATTTACGGTCCAGCTTGAACGCGCTGGATTGAAAGAAAAGGTGATGCGAAGCAGGTAATATATCTCTCCGGGGACCGGTACTATGAGGAATCTGAACCTCGGATCTGCGTATACGTAGTTAGGAGAGAAATGACCGCGGAGCTCAGAAGACACGCATTAGAAAAAGTGGAGCACAATTGACGCACACGGATAGCCGCTAACTTAGCGCTTGAGCGATTATTCCAGAGCTCACTGGCATGAATTGCTTCCGCGGGATCAATGTTCTGTCCTTACATATATGTCAGACTTTGAGTCAGACATCGTCGAATATTTCCTTCCACACACCGTCACGAGCCCTGCTTCAAATTTTCATACAACTCGCACATGTACAGGATTATTGATCATCGATCATCTATGGCGTGTTGATCTGCACCGCCCATTCCAAACTACCTCCCTGACACGCGGATTCGAAATTCTACCAAAATGTAGAACACGTTGAAATTGAACTTGTCGACATAATTATCCTCAAGAACTTGGACCCCAGATCCGCCACAATTTGCTTTAAGTTTACCTGCATGCCAGTCCTCCCAGCTCGGCAAACCAGCTCCAGCTCCAAGGCGCATGTATGAAGCCAGTGCATACTAACTAACATGCTGCAACAGGTTGCACACTTGAATATACCACTTGAGGCTAGCTTGCCCACATCTATGGAACGGCATGGAACATTCAACATGCTGAATACATGCGTCGTGATCGATATTTAAATTTGGCGCCTCGATGTTCCGGGAAATTTTACCTGAAGGTATCAGACTAGGGACTCTCAAAAAACAGAACACGCTTGCAAGTCGAGACTGCCTCTCACTGTTTTTTGTTCCAAGTTGAGTCTTTTTGATCATGTCTTTATCTACTCAGAGACGACCATCTACTGTAAGTGGTGTTTGGCTCTTCGTCGGCATGCAGTTGACTTGAATGCTGATCAGAGTCACGATGGTGTCAACGATATCCGAGCCAGAGAAGTTTTACATCCCACGGAAACATGCAATATTGTCATTTTTGGAGAAACAGGAGCTGGTAAAAGCTCCTTGGTCAATTTGATCACTAGGCAGCAATTGGCAGCAACGTCCTCCGACGCCATGGGATGTACCATTAAAACAAACGTGTACGAGCATGACGTTGCGATTCAGAACAAGACCTTGAAGGTAAAGCTTTTCGATACAGCTGGTAAGCACAGTTAACCGTTCTTGGTGGGCCTCGCTGACCTCATTGCAGGTCTTGATGAGGGCTCTGAGGGAGCGGTCCCCAATGAGGAGGCTCAAAAAGTTCTGAAGAAGCTCCTTAGAAGCCTTGCGGAGCAGGATGGCATTCACCTCCTCATATACTGCGTGCAGGGCACGAGAGAGAGCATGGCGCTCCGCCGGAACTACAAGTCATTCTATTCCAAAGTCAAGGAAAAAGTTCCGATCGTCATCGTCGTTACACGTTTGGAAAATCAAAATCCGGACATGGAAGAATGGTGGAGGAAAAACGAGCAATCCATCTCAAACCTCAATATGACCTTCGCTGGCCACGCATGTGTCACCACGATAACCATCGATAAAAGTGACAGCGATGACCTTAAGCAGCGTAGCAAACAGTCATATCATGCCCTCTGCGAACTTATCGAGCGGTGTCGCTTGCCCAATGAGAAAGGTTTCCGCGACGTCGAATGGGCATGCGATGACCATGAAAGAGAGCACCCACGAAGCGTAATTGTCTGCGACTCTGCCGTCCCAGCCCCCATGAATGTTTGCAATATCGCAGGTGTCATCAATGGCGCATGGGTCAGATCCACGGTAGTCATGCGCGGGCATTACTACATGTTCCAGCGCGTAACTGCACCCTATCCACCCGCAAAACGGTCCAAAGGAGGTGTTGGTTTCGAACCTTGCTTGTTAATTTTTTATGTGGACAGGAACGAGTCTGTCAATACGCAGAGAACAGAAGTGCAGAAGTTTCGCAAGGTCTACGCGAAATCCAAGGTCGGCTTAGTTGTTGTGGTCTGCGGCTGCGACAGTGATGAAGATGCGAAAGGATGGTGGGAGGGGTCAAATGACACTGGCAAGGACTCATTGTTAGCGCCATCCATTACCTTCACTTGCTTACCTCGAGATGGGTCGGAACGTTCGGAGAGTGCTCAAGAAACACTCCAAAAGTTGATTTGGGAGCTATCTCGCACTGGAGAACCTTGTACTTCTGTGGTCCGAGACTTTCTCAATCGTGTATTGGGGTATCTCATAAGAGTAGTCTAGCATAATTTCCCAAACGTCCGCAGCCTTGAATGTAGATGGTGGTCGGTTCAGACAGCAGGCGATTGAGAGACTTCTGAGTGATTGGGCATTACATAACTCTCGAGTAGACCGATATCGATACTAAATAGTAAATACATATGTTCGAATTCATGAAGTCCAGTACAATTCAGATGACAACTCTATACCAGTAAATTATGAGCGACTCCAAGTCTCTTTCTTCTAGTCCACCCGTGGGCCTGCCAACCTCACGCTTTCTTGCACATCGCTTTCATACAACTTAAACGCCTTTTGGAACATGCCTGCAAGCTTGCGAACCTCACGTTCAAAAGCCTCCTTATCTGCCCAGGCCAGACGCGGGTTGAGCACTTCGCGTGGAACACCCTCCACCGCGGTAGGAATCTGGAGCCCGAAGCCGCCGAAGGTCTCATATTCGCTATTGAGAAGCTCCCCGGAGTGTACGGCATCGACGATGCGGCGGGTGTATTTAAGTGGGCAGCGCTTGCCCGTGCCGAACTTACCACCTGTCCAGCCCGTGTTGATTAACCAGCAGGAGACGTTGTGCTTAGACATGCGCTCGGCCAGCATTTCTGCATAGCGTCCAGGCTGACACAGAAAGGCTTTAGCTCAGAGGTTCTTAGGAAGAGATGAAAACCCACGTGTAACACAATGAAAGGTGCGCTGTAGCAGGTCGAGAATGTTGGGATAGGTTCAAGGACACCGTCCTCCGTGCCAGGTGTTTTCCTTCGAAATTGACTCAGCGAGTAGCGCGGACAGAAGTAAAAAAAATACACTTACGAGGTGTAACCAGCAAGGAAATGGTAGCTTGCTTGCTCTGGGGTAAGTTTACTTACAGGTGGAAGAACACCGAACGCGTCACACGTCAACATGATGATGTTGCTCGGTTGTCTGTCTACCATGCATGGGATCTTGGCGTTTGGAATGTATTCGATTGGGTATGCGCAGCGTGTGTTCTCCGTGATGCCAACGTCGTCGTAATCTGGTACGCGCGACAAAGGGTTGTATACGACGTTCTCCAGAATGGAGCCGAAACGAATGGCATTAAATATTTCCGGCTCCTTCTCGCTCGACAGGTTGATGCACTTGGCATAGCATCCTCCCTCGATGTTGAACACCCCAGTGTCCGACCACACGTGTTCATCATCGCCAATGAGAAGGCGGTTTGGATCAGCGGAGAGAGTGGTCTTTCCGGTTCCGGAAAGGCCGAAGAACAGGGTAACATCGCCCTTCTCCATCCCGACATTGGCAGACGAGTGGAGGGAGAGCTGGCCAAACTTCACAGGTTGAAGATAGTGCATGACGGAAAAGACTCCTTTCTTCATCTCGCCGGCGTACTCAGTGCCGAGGATGACCATTTCCATGCGCTTGAAGTTGATTTCCACCGACGTGGTGGAGGACATGCCCTTGGTGAAGCGGTTCGCAGGGAATTGACCGGCATTGTAGATGATGAAGTCGGGCTCGCCAAAGCTTGCGAGCTCTTCCTCGGTCGGGCGGATCAACATGTTGTTCTTCCAGGTTGTCAGAAGAGGAAATGCATGTGATTGTATTTACATACCATGAAGAGAGCATGATATGCACGGGCACAAATGACCCGGACCTTGATACGGTATTTGGGATCCCACTAAAAACAGTTAGTGCAAGTCCGTGCAGTTGAAACACAGGACTTACACCAGCAAAACCATCGAAGACATAGACGTTGTCACGCGTATTCAAATAGTCGATGGCACGCTCGCGGTTGATCTCAAACGTGTCTGGAAACAATTGCTGAGACAAGGGACCGGCCGGCGTGCAATGGAGTCAACTTACGTTCGTCCATCTTGATATTCACGGAGCCCCACCATATATCATCCTTACTCGTCTCCTCATAGACGATTCGCTTGTCCTTAGGACTTCTACCGGTCTTCTTACCAGAGAAGTTGATAAGTGCGCCGGATGAGGAAATAATTGCGCCTTCATTGCGGATGGCGTCTTCGTAAAGCTGCGCTACAGGTGCGTTGCGCTTCAGCTGGATCCTATCCATGTCAAACCCTGCCTGCGAGAAATACTCGAGGTCACGGCCAATGACTGTTTAAAATATTTAGTGGATAGGAGGTATAGTAGTTGGGTGCACTGACGATTACTATGAAATTCATTGTCAAAAGCTTGGGCGTAATTTTTGTGCAAGATGTGAGGTGTAACATAGGGTGTCTGGTGGGGATGAACCATTGTGGTAGACGAATATGAAGGAGTCTGAT